CCGCGGGCTGGCCGGGCGCAGCTGGGCACACTGGGCAAAACAAAGGGACCACCGGGGAGGCCCGGGGCGACAAGGGCGGGGAGCGACCCCCGGCCCGACCGGCGGGCGAGGAGGCCCCAGCCGGCTCCCAGAGGACTGCGTGAGGGCCCGCGGCCCTCGGTCGCCACGGCGACAAGGCCAAAATCCCGCGCGGGGTGGAGGCGCCCCTTTGCCAACCTCCTCCGCACGGCAACCGGGGCGAGGAGGGGCGGGCGGCAGCCACCGGCAGCCCCGGCCCGCTCCCTCTCAGCCCCGGCCCCGCTGCCGCGCCCGCTCCTCCTCCTCGTCCTCCTCCCCCGTCCCGCTCACCAGGCTCCGCTCCGAGCGCAGGCAGCGGGCTCACCCCGGCACTCACAGCGGGGCTGGGCGGGCTGAGCAGCGGCGACCCCACGGCGGGGACCATCCTCCGCTCCTGCCGCTGCCTCCGCGCCAGTCCCCCCTCCGCGCAGCCCACCCTGCTGCTCGCACGCGCGGCACATGGCAGCCAATCCGAGCGCACGGGCTGAGGCGCGGAGGCCAATCAGAAAGGCCGAGACGAGGGAAGGCGGAGGTTGAGATTGGCGTGAGACCCGTCAACAAGTTAAGGTGGCCGAAACAGGAACTGCCGGAGACTGGCACCTCAGCTGACCAATGGGGAGAGCGGGAAGGGGAGCACGCAGGGGCGATAGGCGGGCAGAGGTACTTAAAGGGGCATTGCCCGCGTTCTCTGCCGTCCTCGGCTCTGTAGCAGCATCAGCTGTTCCAGTGCAAGCTTCCCGACACTGCTGGGGAACGAAACCCTTCATCCGCCTTCCTTTTGAATTAAATCTGACCGGAAAAGTGGTGGTTTGGCCTCTAAATTAGAGGCTCAGTCATTAGCAGCTCTGCCCCTGCTAACCCCCAATTCAACTACTAGTCACAGTAAGACAGAGAGAGCTTTTCACTTCCAGCCTCAGTTGTTTTCTTCCGCAGCTGTTCTGGAACTCTTTTCCAATGAATTTTCCTATTCCTAATGAACGCAACCAACTCCATCTACTGACCAAGGAGTTTCCACAGGAATGTAAATAAGTGGATAGAGTATTAAGGGTAACATTTTTTTTTTTTCCCCCCAGAAACTGTACCACAGCACAACTTGATCAGTTTGTAAGTGGCATGTCAAAGCAGGAGAGGCACAGAAAGGAGCTACAGCCAAACAATGGATTTAAGAGATTGGAATAGTTAAGAAGAGAGACGAGTTTTACTTCAATACCTGGGAAAAATCAGTGCAGAATAGTACTCACTGCATCTTAAGACCAGTTATTTTCACAGGTACAGATCACAGTTTATCAAAGATTGTTGTGAAGATTTGCAATAGCTAGCAATTCGTCTGAATGCTTTCAAATATATAACCTATGCAGCCCCAAACCAGTTGCAGTGTTCTTAATGCCCGGACTGTTTGTTCCAAGACTGCTCACTAGTCAATGCAAAACTATTCCAGGAGAATTCCTCTTCCTCTCCTCCCCCTGACCTCACACGACAGAGAATTTCTGAGGAAAGACTCATAGCTTCAGGGAAACAACCAGACCCCAGTCTCCTCAGCTGTCAGACACCCATGGCATTCACCACAGCAGCCCAACTCACAGTACATGGTAGAAATCTTCCCAGTTACAGAGTTCAGGAAACATCTGAGGAATATTCTGTATCTGATTTCAGAGGGAAACAGCTGGACTGCAAAGAAAGTGCACATGACAAATTGTAAATGACATAACTCAAATAGTGCACGTTTATTCTGAACAGTATTTCTAAAGAGTTTGAGAAAAAACCAAAAACATGCTCCTGATGTACAAGGGCAATGATACAGATTAAAAATGGACCACCTTATTGTAAAGAATTTGTTCCCCCTGCAACTTAACTTGTAACATTGAGAATGCATCTGCAAACCGTATACAGTTTTAGTGAATCTTAACTCAAGACACCAAGGGGGAGGGGGGGGGGTCCTTAGCCAAATGAATCAGGAAGCAGTTGCAGATTCAAAAGAAACATCCAAGTCAGCAAACACTTCACAAAACACAGACTTTGTGCATAGCAGCTGACCCGGATTACAACATGGGGGAGAAAAGAACAATTCAGGGGATCAGATTTTTATTAGACACAGGGCACCATCAAGATTTAACGAAATACAACGTAAGTTTATTTCAATGGTAACAGTATGTCATATTTAGTTGGCAGGTTTAACCATTAGCTGCATCATGTAAATTCAACCGGCTTCTGTATACACAAAATAAATTCTCTCCTTTCCCCTCCCAAAAATGAGGGATATCTCTCCTGGATGATTCTTTTTCCCCTGTACCATGGTTTCCTCTAATAGGAGTCTTTTTGTGGATATCATCTTCATCCTTCAACTGATGTATGACAAAACCAGTTGCAGAGATTCAGGAATAACTCGTATATACACAATTTACACTCTAAAGCTGTTAGTTACATACATTTTTCTTGCTTTATCTTCATCCAGAAGAGGAAGTGCTAATATCTTTTTTTCTCCCAACTTTCAGAAAATTCAGTTGTTCATAAGCTGTTATTTCCAAACTCAAAGGAGGTCCTGCTGCAGCAATGACCAAACTAACTGGAGGTCCCTGCAGTAAGCAGACAATTCACACAATTTCAGTACCTCTGGGTAACAGCACTAAGATACAGCATTCTCCTCCCACGCTCAACATGACCGATATGCCAATAAAATACAACTGTTTGTCACCCAGAACTACTGACCTTCACCTGCCCTTATCCATGTACAGGGAACACAGCTTTCTATGAGATTCAGATTAAACCTTGTATTCAAGATTAAACAACTGGCTTCCAGAATTAATAGCCTGGGAAAAGGAGTCTTAGATTTGTGGTCACTCTCTCTTCTACCTCCTACAAAATGTTTTAACAGGAGTTACAATGAGGCAGGTTTGCTGTAGAATAGGAGCTTTAAGAATTGTTTTCAGGGATACATTCATAGAATGATGGCAGCCCAAAGCAAAAGAGACAGAAACAAAGGTTAATCCAAGTAACTTCAGACATCAGACTCATACTTTTAAACCTGAAGGAAAACTGTTTGTGAAACACACCGATTTGTGGAAGCCTACGACAACAGCAAATCCTAAGAGTTCATATCCCCACACCCATCTACCCAACCCAAACACTTAGTTCTATTAGAATGAAGAGCACTTTGCTTGGCACCAGAGGCAGCTATGGTCTGAATTACAGCTGTGCTGCACAAACATCCTCAAATACAATACTATCCCTCTCCCTGCACATACTTCTCTCGGTTTGGTCTACAGATGGCCAGGGAAACTATGTTGGCATATGACAAGCTAATTGTGCTTCAATACACCCCCTTCTAGAAAGATGCTGAAACTGCCAACGTAACCAGTGCGAGCAGGTCCTAGCAGTACTAAAAATAAGCTTTTGTCAAAACTAGGCTGCCTCTGGCTGAGGAAACCGTTTGCATCTTTCTAGCCAGAGTCTGCCACAGAGTGCTGCAAACACAGATGCTCAGGCCATGCAGAGGGGCTTTTGTTGTTAGCCATCTGCCCAACCCCACGACCCAATTAGTGCAAACCCAGCAAATAAAGTATCCACTTTCCAGCATAGGTCTGTCAAGATGTACTCCACCAAGGACTGCACACCTCTGGGAAAGGAGCAGTAATTCTGGAGCAGCTATAGTCACCCCTCTGGGTATCAAAGACCACAATGTGCAATGAGGGGTGCCATCCCTTGCCTCACCACAACTCCCTGTCTTGAAATCCTTAGTTCCCAAGTCACCCTCGAATGACAGGACAGCACCTACTAACTAGATGTATGCTGCAATGCACACTATAGAGGCTGGAGGTTTTCAAAGCAGATGCATTTGAGATGCAGTCTTCGACTTTAAAAAAACAGGAAAGGAATGCAGTTCAATATCTACTTGGGGGATGGGGCAGGTTGATGTTGTCTCAGCTCAGTGCACTTTCCCATGTGCTTGGAGAAGAGTCCAAGCTCAAGTTGGTATTTGTATTGGCATACACAGGATTGCTGGCAACAGTGCATAGAAAGGAGCACTGACATTCACGCAAACAAAGCATGGAAAGATGCAAAGCAGGCTTAGTAGAGTTTACTGTAGCTTTGAGGTTACAGTACTAGGAAGAAGCCAGTCAGCCTATTTTCCAAACCCATAAAATGCTCTAATATAGGCTGCTTTCTCTGGTGCTCCATGAACATGCTCTCAGAGAGGAGAACTGCATTATTACCACTGAACAGGGCAAGGGGAAAATCGTTTTCAGCAGGGCAAACTGTGCAGTTCCTCACCACCTCCTCCCAAAGGAACATATAAACACAGGAAGCCAAGCTCATCCCAACAAAATCCAGAAAACCCCTGCAAACCTCTGTGATTAGGGTTGGATTTATGTTTTCCTTCTCAGCCGTGCTGCCTGGTCTCCTCAACCCTTGCCTCATCTCAGATGTCACCACACACTTAGTAGCTGTAAAAAATGTGGTTTATGTTATCAAAGCTGGTATCAAAGCCCTACAGCATTTCACCCATTTTTAAAGCAAGGGTACTGCCTCAGGATGTGTATTTTTACAAGGTTACTCTTGCCAACACCAGATGTAGCTCTTACTCTGGCAAAAGTCTGCTGGGAGCTGGGTAAATGAAAATGAAAACCAAAGACCACTCTAAATTCTCCTGTCGGTCAGTTAAGAAATGTAGCACCAGCTTGGGTAAGGAGTAGTTAAAAAACAAAAGCGTTCAAAAAGGTCAGGCCAGGCAGAGTGGAAAGGTATGGTGAAGCAGCCCACCCTTCCACCCTTCTCAGCAAAAGATGGAGGAAAAAGCCATACTCGAAAATATTGGGAAGAACTAAACATATTTTTGAGGTGGGAGGAATTAAGAGGAAGAGTGGGAAGTACTGAAGTAACATTCAAAGGTTGGGGGGGGGGGGGGAATAAAGTACCCTGTAGGTTATAAAAAACACAATAATGTGGGAGTCAAAGGACAAGATATTGCTTTTCCTTTCCCCTCCCCCCCCACTGGATTTACATTCTGCTTATTGAAAGAAATAATTGTGAAGGGAGCTTGTCACCAGGATAACCTGCTCAAGCCCTCCACACCTCAAACTTAGATCTACACACCTTTTCCCACCCCAACAAAGAACGAAATACAACAAACAAGAACCCAAAACCACACCCCTCAAAAAAAAAAAAAAAAAAAAAAAGAAAAATGCAGACAAAACCCCCAAACCCCAACAAAATCAACCCCTAACGTATCAGAAAGGAGAGCTCAAAACCCCACCCCAACCCCAAACATGACTGGACAATCCTTGGAAGAAGCATTACATTACATTTTGTTGGAGAGAGGTCAAGAAGAAAAAATTAAAGAGAATGAAGGGGTGGAGTTAAAACCAAAAATCAAACTCAAGAGGCCTCTCTTTCCTTATTTGGCGACAAGCAAGTGCAAGAAAGTGTTCGTTGGGGGTTTGTTCAGTTGTCGGTCTTTTGCACATCTGCGTTCTGGCCAAGATAAGGGGCTTTGAGGTTTTTCTGCAGCACGTGGGCATCTGCAGGCTCTATCCTCTTGTAGTAGTTTTTCTTCGTCTCGATGATCTCAAAGCCAAACTTTCTGTAGAAGTCAATCGCAGACTCATTGCTGATCTGGACATGCCTGGGACAGAAAGGAAGAGAGAGAGAGAGACAGAGATCAGAGCTTTTTGTGGTTCGGTCTTCTGCCTCCACATTCAGAACTGTCAAAGACATGATAAGGAAAAGAGCTGCCTAGATAGAGACAGGAATGCTGGTGGAAAATCAGGACTAGAAATTTTGGTCTTCCCAAATCAATTCCGAACTAACGCACAGCTCCTGGACGGGCTGTAGTAATCTTTCTGAGAAGTGGCAAACATTTTCCCTCATTAAAGCTCTTTTAAGGAACACAAATAACAGACAACAGCATTAATAGCTCGATAATTCCAATTTTTCTTAATCTGAAAGTGACAGAGATTTTGTGGAAATATATTACAAAGTTTGACTGCAGAGCCAATTTTAGCTTCCTGTAGTGACACTTCTTAGGTGACCAAAACAGTTGTCTGACTGCTGATCCCTACATGCTGCCACACAAAACTGGCAATGATGCAATTTTAACTCTTTCTCACTTCCAAGTACCCCCTCTCTCCTCACAAAAAGCTATGGAAGCATAAAAAAAAGCCCCACAGACTTACAAAGTCCTTTTCCCCTTTTACCTATCTCCCCCAGAGTTTTACAGATCTTGCTAGCATATTCCAAGAGTTTCAAGGCCTCCAAAACCAACAGCCACCAGTTCTTAATCCTAAGCAACTAGGAGATTTATTTGCACAAGTTCTATTGAAATAAAAATAAGAGAAAAGGGATGTTTGGCTCAACAAAAGGCATTCATTAAACACTCCCAAAAGTCAGTGGACACTGCACCAGCTCATGAATCACTTTGTCATGATAACATGCTGCTTAACCATAGAACCAAAGCAACTTTGGGAGCAACAGCAGAACTAAACAAAAGATCTTAGTGTTAAGCCAAATAAACACAAAACAGCTAAAAGGGAACTTTATAATAATGACAAATTTACACACTGATAGCTAATTGGGTGCTAAGCTACATGGTATGTTCAGACAGAAGATGCACATGCAGCAGAGACAGTAATAAAAATCTAATAACTTCATTATGCCCAACTTTGGGACCTACTTATCACCATCCCAGAATCCTACTCTAGGAAGTGGAAAGGATTATGAAGGATCCATTTTTTTTTGCATTAAAACCAGCAAACAGTTTCTTCAGTATGCACACACAAACATGCAAAAGTAGAAATGAAAGCCTGTGCCAGCTAGCAGGCATCTGAGAGTTTGTAACCACTCCTTCAGAGGCAGGAGAGCAGGAATACAAGCCAAAAGCAGCTGTACTCAGACTCCTCTTTAAGACACCTCTTACAGAGATGGCTGAAAGCTACAACAGTAGAGGACTTGGAAGACTGCATCTCCTTGGCAGAGTAGGGAAAAACTTGAGAAAAAAGTCACTCCATTTATATTGATATTGGTGTATCAAGCACTAGCATTTTTAGCAGTCCAAGCAAGTGTTGAAGGCGCAGTTCTGTGACAGCATAAGTCCATTCAAGCTGTACCTGCTGTGAATCTATCCCTAACAGTGCACCATGTTTGTACTGGTATAAACTGGCAGTGACGGACGAGAGAAGTGAGCACTTGGTAATCACACAGATACCAGTGAGCTGGGAGAAGCAGAAGTGTGCAGCTGGCAGCAAAGGGGAAAACAAAGCTTTGGCATCTATGGATTTCAGGCTCTATTTCCATGGTGATCTCTTTAGAACGGCAGTGATCTTTTAAGTAGTTCTGTCCTCTACCCCAGTCCTTGTTCTCAAGTCTGCATCACACCAAATGTTTATGCAGACATGCAGTTGATATAAAAAACAAAACAAAAAACAAAACAAACCCAGCCCCACCCAGAATCAAAATTGGAAACAGCTTCCCAAGATGGGTCAGGCACTGACCTGCTTTACTGTGTTGCTGCATAAACAGCTGACCTGGCAGAGTGCAAGAACAGGAATAAGCATTTGGGCCTTGCTACTGAACATGAACCTATATTGCCTGCAAGCACCTCTGATCTGGGGTTCTAACCCACACAGTACTGCCATAAAAGACAGACAGCAAATGCACCAAAACTGCATGCAAGACTTGCAGCATTTTCCATTCTGTGGCTGACACTGTATGGTAAGAAAAGAAATAGAATAATTCTTCCACATTTTTTTGTTATACTCATTACTCTGCTGCAGAAAGTCATTTGTAACTAAACTACATCCAAATACAGCAAATTTGCAGAAGCCCTTCTAAAGCAAGCAAGGCTTAGTTTTCTTAGCATCACACAAGCCCAGAATGTGACCCCACATGTTCTTGGATCTCCCTCCCTTTGCTCCCATATTTGCCTTTATCATCTCTCAAAAAAATGCATGAGTAGAATTCATTTACTTACAGATAGATGTTGTCAAAAGTGCCATCTTTTTCACAGATGTTTAAGACATGATTCAACATTTTAGTTCCTGCCAAAAGGTAAAGAGATACTTAAGAAAACTGGAAGTGGACAATAAAGTCTATACTTAGCTAAGGGCTTTCTTGAGGAGAAGGAGGTTAACTGCAGATAGGTTAAAATGACCAAGCTTGTGAGAACTAGGCAAGGCAAATAAAACATGGCTTATAAGTATTTCACTATGTTTCTGACTGCTCACAAAAATCTAATTTATTGTTTCTCTGGAGAAAAAAAAAAACCAAATGCAAACAAGCCAACAACAAAACACCATCCCAGAAGCACATGTATAAAGCAGCTTATTTAAACACTAGCTTCAAGGTCCTAAACTCGCCTCAACTATGGGGTCAAAACAATGTATAAAGCAGTAAGAGCACTGGTAAGTTTTCTAGTAAAGACCTAGTAATATAATTTAAAATAAAGTCATTTTTCCATTCCGGCTTGTCAAAGCAAACAAGTTACTGTAAGGTCTTGATTAGTCTGTCCCATAAATCTGCAACATGGAGAAAAGAGCTAAATGCAGTATAGACAGAAAGCAGGTATTGCCCCTGAGCAGTGACAATCAGTATTGAAAAAGATAAATACAAACACCCCTTCCCTTTAGAAACCTAATGAAGGAATGTTGTGTTCTACTTATACATGACTTGCATACTGGCTGTGTACCTCTAACAAGTTATTTCATGTGTCTGTGCATCAATTTTCACATCCACAGAAGCAGAGTATTTACTTCACAGTATGATAACATGATTAAAATACTCTGCAATCCTGAATTAGAAAGTTCTACAAAAAGCCCATTTCTGAAAGGCAGGGAAAAAGGAGCACATCATAAATCATACCCCTTCCCCAAAGTCCCTTCCAGAGAAATTAGTGGCCTGAAAGTGAACGATCTTGGTCAAAAAGCATTTAGCAGGCTGCACAGCAATCTGATTTCTTTGAAGACTCAGATACAAAAGAAGATCCTCCGTACCTATTCCTAGCCTTCGGTAGGGTGCCAGGCATCCGAGTGTCATTATGTACAGTCTCTTCTGGTTCTGCGAGTGATCCACCCTACAGCACACTGCTCCCACTGCAATGTCATTGAAATAGGCTGCCAGGGAAGGAAACAAAATGTTACCAGTCACAAATTCAAACTGTACATACAGCTCCTTCATTTACACCCTATTTCCTTCCTTCCCTCTTGCTAATTCTCCCATCCAAGTGGGATATCATACTTTGTGGCTTAACACTAGGAGTTACACTACCAATGGTGCTTTGACAAACCAGCTAGCAGTGACACCAGGATGTAAGCTGGCAGCACACATCACAGGTTTTCTGTCATAACAGAAAACCTGCCCATTCCCAGTAAAGTGGAATCTATTTAGAACACAAACCCTCTGATGTTCAGACTGGGGCTTTTTTGAGGTTCCCAAACAGTTCTTTTTCACTATGTAAAACAACAGAATAGAAGAATATGCTATTCAAGACCATTATGGATAGCAATGATGAGCACTTCTGCCACCACAGACCACAGTTACCGGCAAGAACATTTGTACCTAATTTGGCTAGTTCGCCAACCTCCAGTACATCCTTGTAGAACTTGTCATTGTAGCTGACAGGAAAAATGACCTGGTTTAGCCTCTTCAGCTGCTTAATGTTGTGTGGCGTCACATCTCCCAGCTCGATCCGGCTACTGGAACAAATCAAAACATGCTTAACATCTGATACACACCTAAACTTAATGATTTTATTTATGCTTAGAGAACTGTCTCAGCTAAAAATCAGCTTGACACATATTTGAACTGCAACATTCAACCTGTACAATTAAGTCTTCCATTGGTGGCTTATTTACTCCCAAACCCAATTTCAGTCTGTACTATACAGTCAGAAGGTTCTCAGGACACATGTACCATAATGACGTACCATAGCATATGTGTGGGTTTATTGGATGGAAGACAGGAAGAGCACAAGTTTCTGCAGGAGTCTTAGCTTTAACTTTATCCCATTAATTTCCTCATCAAGATTGGGAAAAGGGTGGGAACTGGGGGAAGGGGTGTAGGAGAGGAGAGAGAAAAGATGTGAGGAACAGGAGGCTAGAACAGAGACCAAGAAAACGAAGTCCTTATCTGTGCTTCCAAGACAGCCTTAATTTTACCACTTATCAATATAAAGCTTATACTTGGACAAAGTATAACTAGACATCTATCTGAAAAACAGTAATGTGTGCAGCATACTCATATGAAGCCTAATACGCAAGTGTGCCACTCTCAAGGTGGTATCAATATTCTTCCTGCTGACAGAGAGCAGAATCACAACCTTAAGATACCCAGTACTGCACTGAATTACACTGAAAAGAAACAAACCAAACTCTTCTCCCTTTTCCAAGACTAACTTCCTGACAGAAACACTGCTTACATAGAAGAAAATATATATATATATTGAAGAAAAAAATATATATATACACACACATACACTAGTTGTTCATATTCCCAAGTCACTTTCTTGGCTGCAGCTGGGCAGGTTTAATGACGACTACAAGAATGAAAAAAACCCAAACAAGAAGATAATAAAATTCTTTCCCCAGATGGTCACCAGAATAGGCAGGAAGGGAAAAAGCCAATGCATGTTGAGTTAGAGATACACAGCACCTTTTAGAGACCCATCTAGTATTAACTAATGGACAACTAACTAATAGATGATTTTGCAATTCTCCATCAGATTATTATGTTCCAGTTACTACTTAGAATTAATGGATGGTATTTACATATTGAACTTTGCTGACTCCAGAATTTAACCTTTTGTGCCAAAGAGATTAGAAAGCCCCCTGGTGTGAAGCATCTCATGCCAGTATTGCTTCCAAACTGTTCCAGGGAGCTCCTCATCTATCTGCCCCTATACAGCACTGGACTTGTCAGTCTTTCTCCTCCCCCACTGCAAGGGCAATTATAAAGCAACTAATCCTTGTAGTCTGCCCCCGAGCTCTGCCCAGTTATTGTACAGCAATCTCTTGAGAGACATCTCACTAGAACTTAGTACAACAATGATCTCAAGGATGACAGAAAAAGCAACAGCCTCCATATTCTTGCATCTCACTCATGCCAAGATACCCAGGCATACTACAAGCAACAGCAGTGGAATATATTTCTGAAGCTTCTAGCTGTAAACCACTGAACTGTTGTGCTCAAAATACTCTGCAGTACCTCTTTTCCATGACCTCCACCATCAGCAGCCCTTTGTTTCACAGCCTTTTCCATCTCCTAGATTATTTTTGCTCTCAAGATTCCTTTCTTCATGTATCACCATCTGTCCAAGTCCCTTTGATAATTATATTCCAAAATGAAGTAAGTACTGTGCTAGTAAGGACCATCTCCTCACATCACAGAAGGACTCCCATTGTAAACAATCATGTTATCAAAGTTATCAGATGCTGTGGTAACTTTAGTAGTTGCTTTATGCCCACCTTTTCAGCCTAGCACAGCAGGGCTTCTGCAGGCACACAGAAGGCAAGTTGTGCCCCTTTACCAATCTCAGCCTGCTATCTTTTCCTCACAAAGGGTAGGAATAAAACTGGCATGTGGATTTCCAGGTGTATTTGTGGCTGGGAGAGAGTTTTGCTAAGGTAGAGCACCCCAGTAACATGCTAGCAGCAAACGCCCAGCAGCCTCTTTCTTGCAGTCTGTATCAGAGTGGAAACCAAAGAAGGTCTCAGCTGCCCAGTTAGATCAGATGAGCTACAGAGTAGGAGGTCAATAAGGAAAGAAAAAAAACCTCACATTCACACTCAGTCTCTTGAAAGCCTCAATCTCTTGTCCAAAAAGATTTAATAGTATATTAACCTTGGTGATACTTTTTTCTATCAGTAGATGCAAGCTTCAGTAGATCAGTAACACTAGCATGAACTTTCAGGATGAACTCACAGCAAAGCCGTTACAGAGCAAGTCTGACACAGACATTATCAAGCAGTGTGCTTTCTAACATTATTTTAAAATTAATTAGTTATTAATGAAGCAAGAAATCAGGCATTAGAAGGCAGTCACTATGGAATATTAATGATGACAGTGCAACAGAGCAAAGACATATTGTCAGAGACATCCAGGACAAGACAGATGAGAAAGGGACCATGGCCAGAAGATGGACCTTCACCAAGAAGGTTTCAGGCAGAGAATAAGTAAGTGCAGAAGCAGAGCCTAAGGCTGCTCGTAGCCTCTGAGCCAAAACATCACCTCTAAGGCTGGCATCAGGCCAGAGAAACAAGTTCCAGCAGTAGGTGGCTAAAAGGTGCTGTTGACAGATTTCCTCAAGCTCTTGGGCTCCCCAACTCTATCTCCCACCACTTGCCACACTCATTGCTGCCTCCTGCCATCTCCTTCTGCCTGCCTCCTGCAGGAAGCATTAATCAATATGCTAAATATGTCTGTTTAAATAGTATGTACTTAGACCACAAATTACTTTAATGTATAACACTAGCTGATTAAATCAGCACCACATCTATTACACAAAAAAACATGTAGTAAATAAACTAAATGAGGACATGGAAAGGAGAACCCAAATCATGAGAATTCATCACTTTGCCCAAGGATACTGTGGCAAAAGTGCCACTAGAGCCTTAAGTATAAGCAGGGGAAAGCTTGCACTGCTGCCAAAAGCATCAGTCTTGGTGTTTCTGAGTCGTTCATTTCCATTCTTCTGATGGCACAAACGTGTGCAACAATGTGGTGAACCAACCCAATTAAAACTAACCTAGCCAAAAAAAGAAAAGTTTAGTTATAACCCACATCGGTTCCTGATTGAGTTCACCACACAAGTCTTCTGCTAGCTTAAAGAAAACAATTGCCAGAGGCAGAAAGAGTCGTTCTGAGCAGAAGCGCTACCTGCCCCTGTTTAAATTGGAAGTACTACGCAAGGGGAGCACAGGGATCATTCATCATCTAGGTGTGCTGGCAAATGAAGTTTCTAAGCCACTGTCCATCATAACTGAAAAATCATGGCAGTCAGGAGAAGTTCCCAACAACTGGAAAAAGGGAAAAATAACCCCCGTTTTCAAGAAGTGGAAAACGGAAGACCCAGGAAACTACAGACCAGTCTCATTTCTTAAAAGGAGTGGAACCAGCAGGTTGAAGGAGGTGATCCTGCCCCTCCACTCTGCTCTCATGAGACCCCACATGGACTTGGGGGTGTTGGTTGATGAGAAATTGAACATGAGACGGCTTCAGTGTGCGCTTGAGCCCAGAACCACCCCCGTGTCCTGGGCTGCATCAAACGAAGTGCAAGCAGTAGGTCAAAGGAGGTGATCCTGTCCCTCTACTCCGCTCTCGTGAGACCTCACTTGCAGCACTGTGTGCAGTTCTGGCGTCCTCAACGTAAGAACATGGAGCTGTTGGAGCAAGTCTGAGGATGACCAGGGGTCTCAAGCACCTCCCATATGAAGACAGGCTGAGAAAGCTGGGGCTGTGCAGCCTTGAGAAGAGAAGCTGCATGGAGACCTCAGAGCAGCTTCCAGTATTTGAAGCATCCATACAAATATGCTGGGGAGGGACTCTTCATCAGGGACTGTAGGGACATGACAAGAGGTAATGGGCTCCAACTGAAACAGGGGAAGTTCAGGTTAGATATAAGGAAGAAGTTCTTTACTGTGAGGGTGGTGAGGCCCTGGAACAGGCTGCCCAGAGAAGTGGTGAATGCTCCATCCCTCTGAAGTCACTTAAACATCACTCATTGCAAGGCTGCTCCCAAGCTACCATTACCCTTGTAGATAGGCTTTCTTCTAATTTTCATCCTAAAGGTACTCAAGGTCTACCCATATGCTGTCTCTTGTTGCTCATTAACTTAAGAGTGTTGATAAACACACACACAGCCTATCCCATGTGCCTTCCAGAGAGCTACCATGATCTCTTTATACTTCTAACTAAAGCCAAACTCCTGGCCTCCTCCTTTAGGACTAGCACTTAATTCTTACTATTGTCATACTAGCTCTTCTTTCCATTCCTTCAGATTAAAGTTAATTTTCCTTAAACATGGCTAACCAAAACTGCTTACAGCACCCCAAGTACTTACTATTGCCTGTACAACGGCAGAAAGTTTTCCCCATCTCTCCCAGAAGCATTTTCCTGACATATCCTAGGACTATATTTGCATTTCTTATAACTACAACATACTGTGACTCGGTTACCAGGGGAAAAAAACGTACTTAGACGTCACTAGCAAGGAGAACGGGTTTCTGGTGCATGAGGCTGATGTTCTTCAGAAACACACAGCCAACACTGTCCAGCAATGCAAGGGTGGAAGTGATCCACAAAATCCAAATGGAAGTGGAACTTCAGCGAGGTGACATGCAGCAGTTAATGAAGCTGGCTGCATGCCTAGAACATCAGCATTAACACTCCTGCTCTTGCATACTGGTGCCCTAAGATCCTTCAGGCAATTGCTAAAAAAAATGCTCACACTTTCTGTAGGACCAAATGCAATCCAGTTAGTCCTACTGCAGCTGCATTCCTCTATCTGCAGCCCACAACAGGGCTGAGATTTGAACAGTCTATTTTCCCTAAACTGTCTTAAATTTATACTAGTGGAAGCAACACAGAATAAACAAGACACTAGTGTTTGCTTATGCTAAGGCTGCCTTTTGCCTCTTGATGTATAATGAAGGAGAGCTGCTATACAGAATGACAGCTCAAGAGGAGGCCAATTTCCAGAGTTACAGTTCAAGAGAAAACACAAACTCAGTCCCAGGGAACAGCAAGTGTTGAACATCAGTTTAGAATCAACATCAGGGAGAAAAAGGGGGAATTTTGAGTTTCTTAATGCTGTAAGAATCTCAGTCTCATTCAACTTTAAATAGTGCAAGTCTCTCCCGAGAGGGATGTGCCTGACTGAAACAGATCTCAGTGTAACTGATAGCTGGGCTCAGGCTTATTGAATGCATCTGGCATGCTAAATTTAGCAGAGCTGTATCTGCAGCCTGTAAGACTTACTGAGGTATCACCAAACAGTCAGGAGAAGGAGCACAGAGGAGAAAAGGGCCCTAACAAATTAAGAGGACTTCAGAGAAGGTTTGTCACCCGCTAAGCAGCCAGCTAGCTTTACTGCTTCTATTTTGGCTTCCAAGTCAAAGCAGGAGTCTAGACAGGATAATCCACTCATAAAATAAAACCAAACCAGAGCTATGAAAGCTATAGACCTGAAGGGTGTGGCTTTGTTTAGATTAAACTCCAAAGCCAAAAGAGCCTCTCTAGTGTTTTGGGTGGTTTGGTTTTTTTGAAAGCAGATGAGCTGTCTTGCTAGGCACACAAGTTAGGCTAGTTCTTGTGGACAGACCGGTATGTTTCCAATTATCTAGACGATCTGTGGGCTGTAAATCTACTTTGCTTCACTTGTCAGAAAACCAAAAGGATTAAGTACAAGCCTAACATGCGGAAAAGTCTTACCAATTTGCTTCTGCGCCCCCCCCCCCCCCCCCCCAATCCTCTTTAGCTCCACTCCACTACTGAAAACCTCTCTTTGCATGATACCAGATACCCTGCTGGAAGTTACCCCCAGATGTGTGCTGGGCTGTAGAAGGGCATACTGATGGTCAGAAGAAAGCTAAGCAATTTTAGAATCAGAATTCACAGAAGACTTGGGATTCAAATGCATCTCAGTGTGAACAGGTCTCACTGGCATGCCTCCTCATTCTGCAAAAACATACTTCAGACCCTCCTTGCCCCTCTCCTTTGTAAGGAAAAAAAAAACCCACCAAAACTACAGCACATTACATTCAAGGTTTCTTCATTATATTTAGATAATTCACCCTGTTTCAACCTAAAAAACCTGACCATTGTACAGAAAACTGGACTGCAAGAAGCAAAGTTATGCTATAATAGCCTCACAGGCTTCCCAGCTCAAACCTGTTCTTTGAGAGCTGTACTAGACTTCAAATCTAAGCTCAAAACAATCTCAAAACCAGACAATCCTAAAGCTGAAGTAGCAGTACAGTTATGAAGATCACAAAGCATCTCAGATGTATGCAAGTGCAAAGCAGAAGCAGTGAGGTAATCTCAACAAGTGTCAAAGAAAAATAACCTTTCCCAAGAAAACTAAAAGTTCTCTCCCTCTGCAGCTGGATACAAACAGCAGAAATCACCATGCCTAGCTGACAGAATGGCTGAAGTCCCAATATATCAGAAATAAATGCAGTTGGTCTAGAACAGAGAAGCAGCCATATGTACATCAGTAGCCCATAACACTTTGCTGTTTCAGAGCACCTCATGAAGTAAAGGCTGAGATTTCATACCTGCCTACTCCAGATGCATCAAAATCAGGTGAAAGAGGAAACAACTTGCATGTGATCATACAGTAGATAAAGACCTGCCTGGAAGCCTAATTCTCCATTTCTGGTCTAGACACTTACTAGTCAACTAAGCTCACAAGAACATTCAGATTTTGAACCACGACTGCAACACAGAAGTACTTCACGAGTTTGAAACAACTTAGCTCAAAATTAGTGTTGTCTCTCCATTACCAATGGCCTGAGACATCTTATAAATTACTGCCCCTTTCCATACCCACAGTGCCCCTGGACATAACAATTCTAAAACCTTATTTGCCTCCTAGGAGAACATAAACCTTTGCTAACCAGTGTTGATGAAGAGCCTGATGATAAGAACAGAGACTTACCTTTCAATTCAGAATAGAAAGGATGCTGGGTTCAAAAAGTGCCTTATTTACATACATCTGTATATCTCAGGGGCCCTTCTCGTGCTTATGTTAGGTTACGAACTATAGAACTCACATATCGGGAGAAAGGCATTTTGCTGCTTTTCACAAACTATTCCCGTGGGTCACTGAAACACCTTTGTTTACAAATGCCCGTGTCCATCAGGTCAGTACAGAAAGAACAGCAGGTCATTCTAGGTCTCCTGATTGCCTCCAGATTTCACCCCTAGGGTTGGTGGGGGGTTTGAGGTGTTCAAATCATGCATTATATAAATAACATACCATGGAAAAATAACAGAAAGCGCCGTCAGTTTTATGAGCCTACCTTCAAATACTTCTAAAGGAACAATCATTGCAAGCTATCAAGCACAACAACCTATTTCACCCTCCTCCCCTTTTCCCAATTTTCAATAACAATGACTTTTTTTCTCAACTGAAAGCTAAAAACCCAAACAAGTCTCTTATAATTGCAGTTTTCAACCTAATTTGTGATCTTTACTGACAAGAAAATCCAAGTGCTATGTAGAAAAAACTTTCACAAGCCTTCCAGTGCTGCCCTGAGTCTCACCCCATCTTCTCAAAAGAAGATTAATATAATGGTCAGATGGTGAAAATGGGATTTCTTTTCAGGGATCAAGATTCTAGTCTCCTATGGGCCAAAAAAACACATGGAGCCTGGAAAAGAACAGGGAGAGGAAGGACGAAGGCCAAGTGAGCTCAGGAAGCACTTCATGCATCAAGCTCTTAACATACAGCATCATATTTTCAATCCATTAAAAAACCCCAAATAAATTACTCTGTTCTCGGGAAACTTCAAACACCTTAGCTCAGTCACCTAGTGATGGTGTTGTGTAGATGATTTTGGCTCTACGAAGGCCAATAAAGGCCTATAAAGCCTTGTTTTATTCCCTTCCCATAATGAATTAATTCAATATCCTTTGAAACAAATACAGTTACCCCATTTCAATGCCGTGCTTCTCCACTCTCAGGTCTTCAAGTCCAAGAGTCTCCAAACAACCAGTAATTCTTCTATGCACAGACTGCTTCTCTCAACCCCTCTCCTCCCCACCTCAGACCTCTATCTTGACAAACTTGCTGTTGTAAAACTCCCACAGGGGTCACTTCTTCCCTTCCCCTCTTTCAGCAGGCAGCATAAAGTAATCCTGACACTGCCTGCTCACTTAGAGCAAATGGGATGCGCGGAGGTACTGCACTTCTCTCTTATCAATTCCCAAACAAATGAAAAGACACAACTTCTCCTGTCCTTTTCTCCTCCTGTGGTTAAAAATATCTAGCACCTTCTCAGATTATTGGTCTGAACACTTGTAATGCTTGCCAAATGGGCAGGCTCTATGAGTTCTGAATCATTTCCACTGAATAAAAGTATTTTTCTGGCTCAACCATTGCCCATTATTTCCCATTTTAGAAAAGATTTACTGTGGCAAAGGAGGATGCATCATTTCCCTCATCCTCAGGAGATGGCAGCAGAGTATGTGGCATTTGGCATTAACTACATTTTTCACACAACCTAACAAGCCACTCATGTGAAATGAAGTGAATGGGTAAACACCACTCAAAAACTAAGACTGGGTTCTAAAGTACTTCAATAAAACGCCTACAATCCCTATGCTACCTTCCTATACTCCCAATCCTTCCTACTCTGTGGAATGTCTTAATCTGGTTATGGAATTAAAGCAGTAAGAGTTATAAATCAGGTTAAAGTACCTGTAATAAACTGCACTGAGTCTTTATAGACTAATTTAGAAGCTATTAAGCCATTTGTAAGCATGCATATAGGCAAGGTCTAGATTTACCATCCATGAAATTCAATGTGGAAAGTATAGCTCATGCTTGGACATTTCTAGGTTCAGAAAAATCCTAAAACCAAACAGCGATTTTCAAGCTCAATTACCTTTTTTGTCCCGCCAGCCGTGTATATGACAATTCAGCAGTTTTCTCCTAAACTTGGAACTTCCTCTCATGTACGTTAAGCTTAGCACTGTGCTTTGTGACTGGAAAAACATCGGCAGTTCAGTATGAACTCTGTAAAACTAATTCAGGAGAGAAAAACATCTCCCTGTTCTCATGAGAAACATGCACAACTTCAGGACCTTGAAGAGTTTTACTTTGTGAATCCCGGCCAAACAAACAGAGATATCAGAGCTAACCCATAGCGACTCACCCTACTTTAAAAACCACTACTGTTTTTCTGTTATCTTGGTACTCCCCAGCTGTGGTGTCTCTTCTACAAGGGAAGCTAGAACAGCACTAGACTGCAGAGCCTCTAGATTACTAAATTCTCTGTGGCAGCAGCTACCTGTTGTGTAGCATCTAGTCTGAAGGGTTCTTTCCACAGCAAGTCAGGATCTTTAGAAACTACAAAGTGTTAAGACTTCACTGCAAACACATAAAAGTTTAGAGGCAGTCTCCTAACAAATTCCTTACACAACAGTAGTGCCCTGTTACTTTGTAAGACAGTGGTGTAACACACAGCTCTCTGCTCCTTGGTTCAATCCATCTTTCATCACGTGGCTCCATGCATGCTGCCACATGACATTCCCATCAAAACTGGAGAGAGGTTTGGCCAATGTGACAGAATAACACATATGTACAGGATCACAGGCACCGGGCCCTGCTTGTAACATGCACTACACGCTCTATATATGATACATGCTTTATGTATCTGATACTCCTGGTCACACAGCAGGTAGAAGCATATGACAGAGCATGTGCACCCTGTATTTCTCCCCTTGTGTAATGTGGTTTTAGGTAAGGGCAGCAAGGAAAGGCTGGATGACCTATTCTCACAGGCTTCATCTGAACATTACTGAAATGGGTCAGTAAACCACCCTTATTGTAAGACATCACAAGGCCACAAACAGTGACCAGCAAACACTCAAGAAACAATGCAAGATTTTCCACTGTCTTTCCTTAAAACTAGTAGCATAACAACTGTACTGAAAATATAAAACCACTGAGCAACAAGTGACTCAACACTGCAAAGGCATGAAGGTGTAGGGAGTATTATTTACATCTGCTCTACAAAACCAGACAAATTACTACGGACAGTAGAAAACAAGCTCTTTCCATTAGAATTTTTCCTTGTGCAAAACCAATTCTAAAACAGATTTTCAAATTCCAGAGCTAACAATAATAACATTTAGGAATACAATAAAAAGACGAATGAATCTCTAGAGAATCATGAAGTTCACCAACAGAGCAGTGAATTACCTCAGTTTTTTAACTCATCTCTAAACTATTAAAATCATTCACAAGATGAGGAACGAGTGAACACAAAGCCAAGTAGCAAGGAAGCAATACCCACTTCAGAAGCTGGGGTTTTATCTCATCAAACAAAGGAAACCCCACAAAATTTTAAAGCAGCTGAGAAAGCAAAAAAACCAAATCTTTCACCCTCCCTGAAACCAGAGGTCCTCTGGAAAAGTCACCTAGTCTCAAACACCCCCATGACAGAGACTCTACAACTCTCTATGCACTATTACCATTGCTATGTGCTGTTTGGAATTCAGAGAGCTAAGAAGGAGGGCTGCAAGCAAAACGTGTTGCCTACACATTCACATCTGAAATTTCCAATTGTCAGCGGACTTGCTAGTTTCTTTTGTCATCCTTTCTCTGCCAAAGTAGACCGTTGATAATTACAGCTGATGTTACGGGTTTCAGTGCTCCCAAACTTCTCTCTGCACTTTGCAGCATGGGTTAATATGCAATGCATACACTCCAAGGAAAAATACTCAAGATGGAATCAGTTTGTTCAAAGGAGATTCAAAAAGATCAGAATCCTTCAAACAGCACATTAGCTTCTGTATGTTGGAAGTCGAAGATTTAGATCTATATCTGGACCCACCTTCTGACACTACTTGTTTCTTAGGGATCTTCTCCAGTCTTTGCAGCTTGACAAACAGTTTGGTTTTGTTCCAAAGTATCCCTATGTAATTTAATATATTCCTTCTGAAAACTTCACCCAGTCCTTTGATTCTCTCATTGTATTTAAATTATTTTTCAGTTTCTATCATCCTATGTGCCCCAATCTGATTTTTACAGAACACATGGATTCAATATGAAGATTTTATTCTGCACAAAAATTTGCTGCGTGGCACTAACAGAGTTTTGACAGGAATATGCTGCTCTTCAAAGAGATGAAAGAGTATCAGAAAAGCAGAAATACACAACTACAGAACCCAAAGACATCGGTTCTGAAGTCAAATCAGGATTAAACCTGCCCAAAGTGAAAGCAAAGTAAGAGAAATAAAGGTTTTGGTGCTCTGGAAGCAGAAGAGGGGTACACGTACCTTGGGCAGTGCCACTGCATCGTGGACAGCCCTGGCTGTGACTTGCCAGGAGACCTCCACGGCTTCCACTTGACATGCCTGGGCCGGTTTCCACCTCACACCTCCACACCGCAGTAACCCCCTCAACTCAGGACTGACAACGGAGGATAAAAGAAACCTGGTTTCGTCAGGAGCACTGCTGAACAGTGACCACATCACCTGCCACTTCATCTTCATCTGCTGTTGCTCTTCTCACAGTCATCCTCTTTATAAGGCGACTAAGAGGTGAAGCACCCTATTTCACGCAGGATGGCGCAGGCCAATAGAGGATTTACTGATATCCTAAACACACCTATGTCGTCTCAGCTTAGAGTAAGTTTATTTGCAAATCATTGCTGAACTTCTCTCTAGATATCTGCCAACACCTTGCAATGCCTGAAGCTGCTTACACACTGTAAGAAACAGCTAAGCATCTGTTACCAAGCAGCGTTGTTGTGTGACCTCACAATGACTGCTAATAAGCTAAACCCCTTATAATTTCTAAGTAAAAGCTTAAATGCTTCGGCTTCCATTCACCCTGCCTTAAGCTGCCAAACTGGAATAATAATACCCAGCATTTCATAACACCAGTTTCAAGGGGACTGGTTAAATACTCCTCTGAGAAATAGCTCTGTAAAGTTTCCTTTGCAAACGTGAAGGAACTGAGGTATGGAGCAGAAGGTTCATGTTTGGTGGCACACAGATGACTCTGACATTGATAAACATTAGGTGATTTAACCAACATTGAAAAACCTGTCCTAATGTGACCTGTGCAAGGTCAGGCAGGTCATCTGACACCTAAGCAGAACCGTGACTCTAAAGGCCTTCTGTCTCCTGTTTAATCACTGCTCCTCACTGCCTCCACTTGAGCAGGAAACCGAGTGTTGCAGTCAGCCACGTCTGAAATCTCTAGGTTTTCAAGAGCCACTGAGAAGTGCAGCCAGGCCCAAAGAAGCATTGCTACAGAAATCAGACACAAAACACAGCTCGTTTTCACCCATTTGCGTTGTACAGCCTCCACGCAAATACCTAAAGATCTAAACCAACAAAAGTACCAAGAGGTTGTTACAAACAACAGCGCAGCAAAACCACTCGTCCGAGAGTAGCAGCTTCGTACAGACCTAACAGCCCTTCTTTGCTATGTCCAGACGAGTACGAACGACCAGTCAGGAGCATGCCCCGCGCCGACTGCTCCCCCCGTTCGTCCTGCCGATCGTTCGAGTCCGCAAGCCTTAATCACTCCGGAGCACGAAGAGCCGCTGCGTCCCACCGGCTCATCAGTTTTCCTTACGGCAGCAGAAGAGATTTCAGGGCGAGAAAACTCCTACTAAGAACACTTTTTGAGTGGGAAGAGCACCACAGGGAAGCCGAGTGACCGCCGGCTTCTCTCCCTCGAAGGCACTTCCCTTGACACCAGCCCCGCGCGGTGCAGACCACGGCCGCTCTCCCGGAGGGCAGGAGACGGCAGCGACATCCCGTCCCATTCCCGAGGCGCCAACGGCATTACTCAGCTCCTCCATCTCCACCTCCCGCCGCCCCCCCTCAGCCCGCCGCGCCTGGGCCCGCTCCGCTCGGCAGTCAGAGAGTCGGCGAGGCCGAGGCGGGCCGGGCCGGGCCGATCCCCGTGGGGCGCGCCGGGCCCGCACTCACCCCTTCATGGTGCGACCACGGCCTGGCCGGCACCAACGTCCGCGCTTGCTGCGTGCAGGTCCTAACGGTGCAACTCCGGCCTCCTCCGCCTCCTCCTCCTCCGCGGCCCGGGCAGCACGGGCGGCTCAGCCTCCTACTCTCGCGCCCGCTCCACATGGGCCTCCGTCCGCCCGCCCGTCCGCCCCGCCCCCGTGACCCCTCACCTCACGCCACAGCCCGCGCGCGCGGGGGGCGCCGCATCGCTCTGGGGTGCTTCCGGTGCACGCAGTGGCGCATGCGCGCGGGGGCTGGCATCAGCTGATCCAGCACCGCCGCTGCCGGAGGAAGGAGAAGGGTTTCGGGTGTGCCGGCGCCGGCCGCAGGTGAGACGCCCCGGCCGTTTCTGTTCCGCTCTTTCCGTCCTCCCCTGTCCCGAGGCACGCCTGGAGGCTGCCATGCGCCTGGCGTGTGGCGGTGTGCAGGAGAGGGGGGTCGTCTCGCCCCTTCCTCAACCGTGGCCGTTACCTGCCCGGTGGTCTCCGTGCCGAGCCGCTTTCTGAGGGAGCGCGCGCGGCCTAGGGCTCCGGGAGGGGGAGGTTGTAGAGGGGGCGTCCGACCTTCAGGGCGCGATGAGGGCGGAGGGCTGCGTTGCTTGCAGAGGCCGAGCCTGCCGCCTCCTCTGTCGCTACTGAAGCGCGCAGAGCTGCGTGCGTTGTCCTTGCGGAGCCGTTCCGCAGTGGGAGAGCCCGCTGTCTGCGGCGGTGGCCTTCCTCGTCGCGTTTCTGCTGGAGAAAAGGCCTGGGAAAAGCAAAGCTATTCCCTGTTGAGTACTCCCGAAGATGCTTAAGCAGATGTACCTCATGGGTGTATTAGAATCCA